ACCTCGAATTAACTTGAAAGAATGTTTTTGAAAAAATGTTAAATGCAAAAGTTTTAGGGTTTGGAAATAGGCATTCGGTGGTGAATTTGAACTTGACCTGTATCTTTGATACAGCCGGGTTCAGGTCACCATCAAATGCCTCTCTGTGGATGCTGAAATACTCATCCGAAACATTTGTTCTGAAACTGCATCCTCTATAGGTACAGATACAGCTATCAAATATAAACAGGCAAAGGGCCAGCAGAGCGATGGCTAATATGCGGAGTAAACGTTGCTTAATCGCTGTTCTTCTTCGTCTTCGTGTGATTGAGGTAGCGCGTGTCACACCAATCATTTCTCCAGAAAAATAATTCAGTGCCTCTAGTATCTATATCTACATTAACAAATTCAAGAAATATAACTTGTATCTGAATCTCTTTATCAAATTCATAGGAAATTTGTCTGGTGACTGCATCTTTAATAAAAAAAGTCAAGATACCAAACTCTGCCCTTAAGAAAAAGAACTGAGCAGCTGTACCAGTAACTGATGAAGTTGAATCAGTAACTTGTGACGTTCTATCAGTGACTGATTACGAGAGTCAGTTACTGGTAATGCTTTTCAGTTGACTTCCAGTTTTAATAATCAGTTTTTACAATACACTAAAAAACTGGTTAGACACTGAGTGTTGCCATCAATAACTGATGACTGGTCCTCAGTTTTTTTAACGGTTTGTCAGATACTGATTATGTTCTTCATTTGACGCCCAGTTTTAATAATCAGTTTTTACATTAATCTAAAAAACTAGTTAGACACTAAGTGTTGCTATCAGTAACTGATGGCTGGTCCTTAGTTTTTTAATGATTTCTTAGATACTGATTACCTATGTTCTTCAATTGATATACAGCAGATTTCTTATTTGTCAAAGGCAAGTTTATAGAACTGGTGAAAGGGAACTGAACTGACAATGACAACTGGGCACTAACTGACTGGATAACTGATTATTGTAACTGATGAGAGCACGATCAGTATATTGAAACAAGTTACTGATAAAAGAAACAGTTGTACCAGTTACTGATAAAAAAACTGGCCAATATTGGTCCAATTTTATTCAGTTTTATATTGATCAGTAACTGATAGAACTTCTATGCTGTTCAGTTGATCAACCGAACAGCATAGAAGTTCTATCAGTTACTGATCAATATAAAACTGAATAAAACTGGACCAATATGGACCAGTTTTTTTATCAGTAACTGGTACAACTGTTTCTTTTATCAGTAACTTGTTTGAATATACTGATCGTGCTGTCATCAGTTTCAATAATCAGTTATCCACCAGTTAGTGCCCAGTTTTTTTATCAGTTTTGGCTGCATTTTTTCTTAAGGGTGTCCCTGGGTAATAAGGATTAAGTTTTTTAACTCAAAACAGAACCAGAATCACATGTCGGAAGGCATTGTAGTACCTCTTCGCAACATTGACCTGTATCCAGAACATTGAAAATTACGGTGGACTCGCGTTATGTGCCTGAAACGTGTACTGTGAGAGTAACGATGTGTCCTTCCATACTTTATATTTTAAGCACTTTATTTCTTTTCAGAAGGCTCATAAAATTCTGGACGTAACAAAAGTTTCAAACATTGTATATCATTTTTTATTTTATTATAAAATAATGAACAAAGTAATAAAAATATTAGTCTTTATTTCTTCGAATTTGTGTTTATCGCATGGAGAGTCTTATGAATTTTATTAATTTAATAAGAATGTATTAAATTATAATACAAGTATGTACATAAATCTAATATTATTTTATGTAGCAGATAGATATTTTTAATTAATGGTCTCAAACTTTTGACTAATAATGTATGTTAAGAGTTGTTTGATTTTAAAATTTATTAAAACCACATCAATACTATAAAATACTGATATCATGTCAATAATCTTCATACATTTAAACAGTATGCAAGTTATGTATTATATAAGAGTAAAAGAATGAAGGATGAACTTACGAGGCTTTCGAATACATTTGCGATTTAACGCCAGTAACAGAAATATAAACAGGCAAAGGGCCAGCAGAGTGATGGCTAATATGCGGAGTAAACGTTGCCTAATCGCTGTTCCTCTTCGTCTTCGTGTGATTGAGGTAGCGCGTGTCACACCAATTGATCTCCGCGGTTTGGTCTGATGCTGAAGAATGGATGTGGTAGTTTCACCACGTGAAACATAAGTTACCTAAACGTAATTGGTTGATTAAGACCATGGAAATAAATTGCATTTTTATCTTTTATAAGAAGAATAAAGAAATCGAAAGATATCTTTATAGCTTTGATTTGAAGACTAATTCTATTAATATATACATATCATTTATATAAAATAGCATTTTTTTATTTGATTATTTAAAATAGCTTTTTATTTTTTTATAATATAAAAATTAATGCAGCAAGAATTTTCTATTCAAAGGAATAAATTTTATATAAAGAAATTAGTCAACGTTATAGATATTAATCAATTTTTACGACTTATTATCCATTATATTTGTATATTTCTTGAATAAAAATAATATTATTATTAATATATTGATGGTCTTGAATATAGGATCTGACGAGTGGCATCCGTTTGGCCACGTTGCAATTGACCATGGTCCCGAATGACCACGTTGCAATCATTTCCAATTCAATTTCGTCGAAATTGAAATGGCAAATTCCAAAAGAGGTTTTATTATCAAACATTTCAAGATTACCAACTCTGCAACCATTAATGTGTTTACTTCCCAGAATAGTAAAAGCTGAACAAGTTATTGATAAATCAATGATCAATGGCGAAAAATGTCTCTCACAAAATTCCCGGATAATTTTTAATAACCATCTCCTGAAAAGTTTTGGTTGTCTGTAAAAGAATCTAAAGAGTACTGTGGCGGCAATAAATTTGATGAACTTTGTGACTTTGCTGTTAACACCCTGCTATTTCCTCATTCAAGTGCGGCTTGTACACGCGTTTTTTAAAACAAAAAGTAGAAATAGATTGTTACTGTCAACAACCAAGTCTTTATTGTTAGCTTCACGGTGTGTAAGTAGAACAGGTGGTTGCAGTAAATTTGATGCTGAAGAAATATTACATTGTATTATATGAAGAATAGTACTATATGTATCCTGGCAAAGCATTATCGAAACCAAGTATGTCAAATTCAACTATAAATCAATTACATAATGAAGATTTGTATGAAGATATAGTGTTTAAAATTTTCTTAAGATAACAACGCGACATATACAGGTTGTCCGAAAAATCACCTACTTCACTTCGGGAGGTGATTCGGGATCCAAAAACAAGCAAAAAAGTTCATACAAATATAGGTCCGGAAATGAGCCGTTTCCGAGTTATAGCCACTTTTATGTTCAAAAATCATAATTTAGAATCCGCTTGGCATCCCTCTTTCTTAATTATTTCTTAAATTAAAAATGTGCCTCGGTGGTCGAATTGGTTGAGACGCCCGCTTAGCGAGAGGGAGGTCCAGGTTCAAACCCTGGCCGAGGTGATATTTTTTCGCAATAAATTTAGAATAGAATATTTAGACACTACCATCCTGTCACGGCTCTGACAAGTCCTTTAAATTCCTTAAAAATTTTTATTTTTAAATTTGTATTTTTAATTTTCAGTTTTAATTTTTTTAGTTTTTCAATTTTTCAATATTTGTAAATACGATTACATTATTTTTAAAAGAAATCAGTTGTTTTCACGACTACTTAAAGTCAGTTGTTTTCGCGACTATTCAAAATCAGTTGTTTTCACGGCTATTCAAAATCAGTTGTTTTCACGGCTATTGGAAATCAGTTGTTTTCACGACTACTTAAAGTCAGTTGTTTTCACGGCTATTCAAAATCAGTTGTTTGCATGTTGTTGAAAAAGACTAAAAAAATTGTTATTAAAAAAAATTGAAAATAAAAATTTACGATTTTTGAACATAAAAGTGGCTATAATTTGGAAACGGCTCATTTCCGGACCTATGTTTGTATGAACTTTTTTGCTTGGTTTTGGGTCCCGAATCACCTCCCGAAGTGGAGTAGGCGATTTTTCGGACACCCTGTATACTATACCTAATGAGCTGTATAAATACTGAAAAAATTGATGTTCCTTTATTAATATTTTTAATTTTTATTTTAGTTTGTATATTTGATTTATTTATATATTTTTTGTTCTTCTTCGTTATAGACAGATGTTATAGATAGGTTACTCACACAGCACCGAAATACATATTTCAGAAAGCTCTCAAAAAGCTGTCAATGAAATATGAAGCCTTTCAAAAAAATATTTCAGACATGTTTCAGATATATGAAATGTCCGCGTAGATGAGATATCATAAATGTTTTTGAAATATTTCTGAAATGCTTCAGAAATATCTCTTAAATGCTTCGGAAATATTTTTGAAATGCGTCAGAAATATTTCTGAAATGCTTCAGAAATATCTCTTAAATGCTTCGAAAATATCTCTTAAATGCTTCAGAAATATTTCTGAATGATTTCTATATTACATTTCAATATTAATTTCCGAGTTATACATATGTTGGATAGCTTTCAATAACATATGTTTTACAGATTTCGTACGAAAAGTTCTCCGAGATGTTTTGTAATATTTCTGAAATATTTCAGTGAGAAGGATCATAAATGATTTCGATAAAACGTTTCAGAAATATTTCTGAATGATTTCTATCTTACATTTCACTATTAATTTCCAAGTTTTATTTTGGATAGCTTTCAATAACATATGTTTTAGAGATTACGTACGAAATATTTCTCTGAAATGTTTTGTAATATTTCTGAAATATTTCAGTGAAAAGGATCATAAATGATTTCGATAAAACGTTTCAGAAATACTTCTGAATGATTTCAATGTTACATTTCAATATTAATTTCCAAGATATCTTTTGGAAAGCTTTCAATGACATGTGATTTTAATGAAACGTTTCAAAGATATTTCTGAATGATTTCAATTTTACATTTCAATATTAATTTACCTTTCGGAAAGCTTTCTGAAACTTGTTTTGATGTGTGGGCAATTAATAAAATTCTATTTTAATTGGTTAGTATTCAGCTTATTCCTATTTTACTATATTCCTCTTTCTTACAGACTAAAAAAGGGTCATCAATTATAAAAATGGAAATAAAAAATGTACAATAATTTGGAGGTAAATACGATCTCTTTTCTTCTTTCTTCCCTCCCTCTCTGCCTATGTGCTTGTCTATTGTATACAGTAGAACCTCTTTTATCCGAGGTAATGTGGGGAGGGGGTACCTCGGATAAGCGAAAACTCGGATAACACAGAAGAAACACAAAATTCGAAAACTTTTATTATTTTTTATATATTTAAAATGCTACAATGGAATTTAACCCCATGAACATATAAAAGTAAAAATTTAACGAACGTAGATTAATTTTTGGTGTACAAAGCATTACTTAAGTTACTAACGTGGCTTAAGAAAGTCAGTAATAGAGCACTGTTTCAACCTGCTCATGCGTTTTCTAGCTGCAATATCTCGCCATCGTTTCATCAATAAGAGGTCACTTGCAGTACTTTCCGGCTGTTCCTCGATATATTTAAGAGCTAGTTCAAGCGCATTTAATCCTTCTTCGTGGCTGATTTGCGGACTTTCTTCCGTTTCACTGTCTTCTATATCGTCCGCGTTTTCTTCTCCAGAATTTACGAGTTGGCCAATTTCGTCATGTGTAAGTTCCTGTTTACAATCGTCACCATAAACCCATTCTTCAGTGTCGTTTCTGTCGACGTTTTCACAACCAGGGATCTGCTCCATGATGCTGTGCAAATCCACATCGTCTGCTACTTCATCGCTTTGGTTGTTAGAACACAAGATTTTTGCCCATGATCTTTCGAGCGTGTGCCTTTGGACAGCATCCCAAGCTTGAGCTGACCAGTAAATAACGCTTTTTATGTTTATTGCAAGCAAACACTCTTTGAAGGTACTACCCGCGGCGCTTTTTTCCAGAATTTCTTGAAGTAAAAAACGTCGGTAATGACGTTTAAACGTCTCGAGTACGCCTTGATCCATTGGTTGTCCAATGGAGGTAATTACATTCGGTGGGAAAAATTTGACGATGATGTGTTCACTTCTGAGAGCCGACTCGTTCAGGTGCGATGGAGCGTTGTCGAGTAACAAAATCGCTTTTCTAGGAAGACCATTTTTTTTCAAAAATCTCTCAACCGAAGGGACGAATTGTTCGAAAAACCATTTTTGGAAAAGATCGCGACTCATCCAAGCACTCTTTTGATGCGCGTAGTACACTGGTAAGGCTTCCGATTTGATGTGTTTAATCGCTCTGGGTTTAGCCGATTTCCCGATACACATTAGTGGGAGTTTGTGTGTTCCGGACGAGTTACTGCATGCTAAAATGCTAACCCTTTCCTTATTCTTTTTATACCCCGGAGCAACCGCTTCTTCTCGTGAGGCTAATGTCTTAGAAGGCATTATTCGAAAATTTAGGCCAGTCTCGTCGCAGTTATAAATTTGATCTCGCAAGTATCCTTCTTCCGCTACAAGCTTATTGAATTCTTCTTTAAACTCAGTCAATCTACCTTCATCAGCTGACATTTTTTCGCCACAGATGCTTAACTGACGAATAGCGTGTCTTTTCTTCCACCTGTCGAGCCATCCGCAACTTGCTGTAAAAGTCTCGCTTTCATCGGGAAACTGTTTTGCAAGCATCTTGGCCTTTGCCTGTAGAATGGGGCCTGAAGGGGAGAAAGGAAAAGAAAGGTTCGGAAAAAGCCTATTTGCATGGTATTGTATCGAACAAGAATCTTCAAACTCTGTCATATTCGACAAATGTTTATGACATACCTGATACTGCCAGTCGCTTTTCTCTCATTTGAGTGAACCATAGAAATAAAGCTTCGTCAACTTTATCATACTCTGCCGGTTTCATCGTTTTACGACTTGTCATCGCACCGCCGGATTTTATCGCGAATTGCTCTAAATTAGATCGATTTCGACGCCAATCGCCCACGGTGGTCTCTCCAACACCATAGTCGGCCGCGACATTGCGAATTATTTCTCCTCTATCCAATCTTCTAATTGCTTCCAACTTCTTCTCTACACTCACGACGACTTTTTTCCGCTTCTGTGACATGGCGATGTTTTTCCAATGACTGTTAAAGCCCAACTGTTAAATTCTAGCTCACAACCGAGGAGCACAAAGCGTGTAGTAACAAGTTTATGCTTGTTTAAACAAAAAATATGTTGCAATCGCAAACTAGTCCGCGCATACACCATAGCGGCGTCATCCGTTTTATCCGAGTTTTTCCGTATTATCCGAGCGCACACCTCGATTAACGTGGAGTGCTTGGATAAGTCCGGTGGCTCGGATAACGCGGAGCCTCGGTTGATCGAAGGCCGTATAACCGAGGTTCTACTGTATGTATGTACATCACAACAAAACCGCTTTAAAAGTAAAATGACATGAGAGAAATAGGAATGGAAAACATAATATTGAAGAATATTAGCAGACCTTAAGAAACATGCAAAACTAAAAAATGTTGGTGAGAAATCTTATTTATTAAAATAGTTCACGTACTTGAAGAGAATTTGCAGTAGATATATTATCTTGACTAGTTGATCCTGGCAAATCAGCCGATTGTTCGGCGACATTGGTCGAAGCTAGATAACCATTGCTCCTTTCGGATTTCATTCTTGCTTTGCTGATTTCCTGCAAGATACCTCCTCAACGCAAGCAATAGGTAGCACTCGCTCATCAGAGGGACAATTAACGATTCACGACGCGGCTTTTTTGGAACCTGCAAGAATTGGAAAAAATAGGAAAAAGGTCCTTGTCCCAGGCTCCTATGACCATGTAAAATAAAGTTCTTCCGTATATTTTCTTTAGATTACCGCACAGATGTATTGCAATTCTTTGAAATTGGGATTCACAGCACACTATAATTCCTCAAGACTGTGGTTGCCAATTAAACATTATGCTTTGAAACAACAAAATGTACTATTAACTGATCGTTATATAACGGTTCAAACTAATAACTAAAGAATTCAGACGATTTTTCTCGTTGGAAAAAATAAAAATTGTATTGTAAAAACTTGTATTTGAGTATTTGACAAATATACAAGAAAAATCATGTAAAAACTGAAAGATATATTCTGATATAAATTGGTTTCGTATAAAGATTGTTTCCTCAAATTTGATTCATTTGTTAATTTTTTTCAAAATTCTGGTACGAATACATACGTAAACTTCATGTTCACATTTAATGGTATAAATAGAACACCCACACAGCAAAATATATCTGATTGTGAGACTTAAATCAGATATCATTTCACCGGTCATATTTGAGTTATCTCGTAGATAATATATCTTCAATATTTTAAGGATGTCACATTCCTGATATCTCTTTTTAAAAAAATTATGATTTATATTTTTATTATTTGTTTTGTTTTTAAATAATTGTTTATTATTTAACTTTTCCTCAAAATAAGTTTTCTAAACTTATCTAATCAAAAAAGAAATAGTACGATTAAAAAAATGAAAATAAGATAAATTTGAGTTTACAATAATGGTATAAAAATGTAAATGCTGATTTATGGAGTCCGTGTTCTTTAATGATTTATGCTGAAACTGATAAGAAAAATACATTTTCTGTTTATCACGTTGCTTATTCTGTAATACGTAAAATCCGATTTCAAATATAGATACGTACAACAATATTTGATATAAAATCAGATATCATATTTCAGATGAAATAAAAATGACTTTTTAGAACCTAGAAGATCTCTCTCAGATTATCCAAACAATATTTGAATAATTTCTTGTATCAGTTATTGTAATATTTAGATATCTCCAAGATAACTTTGTGACATTGTTTGCTGTGTGAATAGACATTGTGGATAGACATAGGATTAATTGTACATATATATAAACCTGTAGTTTTGTAAAATTTGATGAAATTAGCTGAAACTTTACTATTATTACTTTAAGTCCCACATAGCACATAATATTACGTAATATATCAGTAATATTATAATATTGCAGTAATATTACATATTGCAATGTAATATTTCATTAATATTACTGATATGTTACATAGAAATATTACACAGTAATATAACAGTAATATTGCTGCAATATATCAGATCTAAAGTAGCGCAAGGTGATGTCAAATCGATTTTTAATTACGTCTCATTACGTTTTATTACGTCATTAAGATGCCATAAAGACGTCACTTAATGTCACGTTGCTATTTGACACTTTCCAATGTATATCGCATTGAAGTATGAATAAAATATTATAAGGGTAATTTGTAATGTGACGATAATTCATCTTTGAGAATGACTACAAAAACGCATTATTAAACAATTATTGGAGAGATTATACAGCCCGTGACCATCTTTTCCGTAGGGCCATCATACCCGGGTTTACCCTAATCTATTTCCTTGTAATATTACGTGATACATCACAGTATTATTATTGCGATTATCACAGTAATATTGCTACGATTATCTCGGTAATAGTAATAATAATAAAACATTTCATTGGGCGGACATTTTAATATTATTGTGATACTCGTATATCAGTAATATTACAGAAATATTTCCGATATATTTTATTGTATATACTATATGTATATTTTATTGTATATTTTATTGTATATATGTACATTGGAAATGTAATATTACTGTGATATTACTGTAATATTGCGTGCTATGTGGGGTAATACTGATCAAAAGTTACCATTGCCATAAGTACTTAAATTAATAATAGTAAAGTTTCAGCTAATTTCACCAAAATTGATTTTTTATAAGAAAAAAAGGACTCCATGCAAACCTCATGGAAAATGGATTTCGGTGAAAATGGTTAAAACTTGGCCATTTTGTACTTCAAGTGATTCCAATTAAAAGTTACTACCCAGATAACAATTCTTGTACGCAAATTTTGTCTTATGCATACAAACTTGTACGAGATTTGTCTGAGTTTTGCTCGTAAGATATGTTTTGTCTGTGCTTTTGCATGCAAATGGTTAGCTCATGTGTTAACGTATAATTTTGTGCGCAAATATTATATCTACCCAGAAAACATTTTGCGCGCAAACATCTGGTATTATGACGACGCACTTGGATAGAATTTTGCTTGCGTTGTTGAGCCATTTTTGTACGTGAGTTGTTAGATATTTCCGCACAAAATGATACGTTGATACATGAGCTAACCACTTGCGTGCAAAAGCACAGACTAACCATATCTTACGGACAAAACTCAGGCAAATTTCATACAAATTTGCATTCATAAGACAAGCAAAATTTGCGCGCAAGAATTGTTATCTGGGCAACGACTCACGTAAAAAATCGCTCAGCAACGCAAGCAAAATCCTATCCCAGTGCGTTGTCATAATGCTAGATGCTTGCGCGCAAAATGTTTTCTGGGTATTGCCACAAGTCAATTCTCCCGCACGGAATACAAATATCTATTTTTAGATATTTTTTTCCGTGATTAGATATTTAATGGATATCCACGAATATCTAAAACATATCCATTAGAAGTGCTTTTTTTTAGATATTCAAGTGTCCGCTATATGAGATCTATTAAATATCCATAGGATATTTATATCAGTATCTAATGGATATTTATATGTTGATGTCCCGTAGATATCCATTACATGTATATTAATATTCGTCTGTTAAAAAATATTTTGTATAATAATTACATACAAAAACCTGTAGTTTTGTAAAATTATGTCTGAAATTTGTTCATATATAAAAGTTACATATATAAAAGTCTAATATGCAATTGCCACGTCGCAACAGCAAGTGGTACTACAATAGTTTGAATATCTAATGCATATCCTTGGTAGCTGTTTGGTTGATATGGATATGTGGATACGTAAATATCTAATGATTATCCTTGGTAGTTGGTTGGTGGATATGGATTTGTGGATAATATATATATCCATTATATATTCTTGCTGGTTATGAGGGAGATACAGGCATTTTATATATCAATTAGATATTTATTAGATATCTATATTATATGGACATCATATGGATATATAGATATTTATTGGATATTTATTAGATATTTTATTCTGTGTGGGTTATGAGTCCTTTTTGTTCTAACAGGGCTCAAAGTTCGAATTATAAGCGCTCTTATCGAATTTCCAGCCCTGTTAGGACAAAAACAGCTCATAGAATTGACTTAAGTGGCAATGGTGACTTTTAATCAGCATCATTTAAAGTACAAAATGATAAAGTTTTAGTAAATTTCACCAAAATCCATTTTCCATAAAGTTTATGCGGCATTCTTTATTTAAATAATATCAAATTAATTATGTTACAAGTTATAATAATAATTATTTAGTTATTGTGTAATTTTTAATAGCTATTATTCAACTGTAATGTAACTTATTATAATTATTATTAAAACAAATATCTTAGATATAGCCAGTAAGTATAAGTTACATTACAGTTAAATAATAGTTATTAAAAATTACATAAGAGCTAAATAACTTTTATTATAAATCTTAACATAATTGGATATTATTTAAACGAATTTAAAAAAATAAAAGTGAATAAAAATTTACTTTACACCATTTAAAAGAGTTTTTCTCGATAACTGTTAGCTTTTACAAAATAAAACAAGAGTATCTTTTCTTTAAAAAATGTGAAATTACGTAAAACGTAGACCTGTCAGTTTTGTAGCTACAAGGGTCAAAAGTGGTCCGTTTCTGCTTCTTCGACGTGGCATTAAGAAACTTATATTGTTTTGAAGTCTTTGCAAAATATAAAAATAATTATTACAATTTATTAAGATCGGAACAGTAATATAAAAGTTATATGTATAAGAATATTGATTCGAAGAATTTAACGTTAAAGACAAATATCTCGGCAAAGAAGTGCTATAAAGAAATTTATAAAAACTTGTAGATTATTTTTACCTATTCTACATGTCCACAAGAGATTGCTAGTTTTTACCGAAACACCCTGTATATATATACATATGTGTGTGTGTGTGTGTGTGTGTGTGTGTGCGTGTGCGCGTGCGTGCGTGTGTGTACAAGGTGAATCATTTAATACAATTAAGAATTCAAACGACATAGGCTGGCAAATATTTTATTTTAATGAAATAAAATTACGACATTTCGACCAGTAATACTAGTCCTTACAACGAGGTTGTATGACTAGACGCCTGTCTGTCGATTTGCGGAGTGATGTAATCAATTTTTTTATTTCGATGGACATATATTTTGTTATTATTGTTTATTTTTTGTGTACTACGACATGTTCTCCTATCTTTTGCTTTAACAATTGATGGGTGTAACGTAAGATATACTTGAAAAGGACTAGTATTACTGGTCGAAACGTCGTAATTTAATTTTATTAAAATAAAAGATTTACCAGCTTATGTCGTTTGAATTCTTAATTGTACTTCTTTTATCACTGGCGACTTACCATTTCCAAAAACTTATGAATCATTTAACTCTTAACAAATCTGAATAACTAAAAATAAAAAATAAAAAATAAATTATTTTAGAGAAAAATGTTACAGACAAAAGTTATTTGATTAGGCGGAAATAAGGCAATGCCATTGAATTGACCTTGGATAGTCGTTTGTAAGTCACATGAAGGTTACTTTTAATTTCTTATATAAATGAAAACTTCTATTTCGTATTTTATTATCTTTTTGTGGAGATTTCAAGTCACTTATATAGAGATTTCTGTCTCTTATTAAGTAATTTGAACAACTTTTGTCTGAAACACATGACATTTTTTCATGCCTAATATTTTTTTAGATATTCAAAGAAACTTGGCAATTTTTTCAATATTTAACTTATGATATCTCAATAATTGTTTGTCAGAGACAAAAGTGGTACAGGACTTTTTTCATTTATTTGTTTTCAAGAATCTGCTACTACAATATGACGTTCCATTTTAACTTGGTAATCTTGAAATCTCAATGGAATTTTCATGTATATGCAAGTATTTACAAAAGTTAGGATAGTATTGTAACAGCATATCCTTGAGATCAAATCAAGTAAAACAGTCCTGTATCACTTTTCCCTCTGACAAACAATTATCAAGATATGGTAAAGATATGGTAAAAAAATTACTAAGTTTTCTTTAAATTTTTCAAAAAATATTAGGCGAGTGAAAAAAATGTTTAAAATCAAGGTTGTTCAAATTAATCAATACAAAAAGGTGGTAAAATAAAAAATAGAAGTTTTCATTTAAGAAATTGAAAGTGACATTAATGCATGAGATAACAAGGATAACATGGGATAACATGGGATAGACACAAATTTTGAATTTATATAGATTTCTTTTTCGATAAATTAAAAATAACAGTATGTAAGAAAAGAATACAAAACACATATATCGTAAAAACTTCTATCTCTTTTTAATTTGAATATACCTGTTTCATATAAATATAAAAATAATGACATGTTAAATTGAAAAAAATAAAGATTTTATTAACTAATTATATGTTAGAAACTTGATATATTCAATTAGTTTATGTTGTCAGTTTGATCGTTTATAGCTTAAAAGTTGCTTTAATTATAACACTGAAATAACTATGATTTTTTCGCACGTCGTGGAATTAATTTATACAGCCATAGTGTCTGCGAATCACAATAACGTACATAATATTCGTAATTTTATATATATATAATTATATAAGTACACTTATAAATAGCAACATAAAATAGAATACAATACAATACAGATAAAGAATGATTAAAAATAAATAAATTTTGATAAATTTTTATAAATCAACTGTACGTTTCATTGGATTTAGATTCTGGACGATAATAATTATTAACTTAATGTTTACATTTATCATGAATTGATTAGTTGAAGATCATTTATGCCGAGATGACACAATTTGAACGTAATGTATTCACCGCGATAAACAAGGAACAAACAAGTGATAATCGAAATGAACGAGATGCAACCGAGCAACGTCAAGACGCGCGAAAAGAACTCACGGTAGGGCGAGTTTACGCTCGTCGCTTGTGTACAGAAGCAACAAGCGTCCTGCGAAAAACTGTCGGGGGTGTCGATCGAAGACGCCACTACCGCCACCGCTTCTACTATTGGTAGCAGCACGATTATGATAAGGGGCACAAGAGAGGATGCGTGTGAGAGAAGTAGCGCCATGCAAAGGTGTGGGAATGTATGAGGTCAGATCGGAGGAAAAAAGAACCGGTCGATACTGCAATGCAGCGATAAATTCGTTCGTGCCACGACACGTAGCGGCGGCAGTGCGAAGCTATTCGGGTTTTGCTTTATCAAAGCGATAGATATAATTGACAATGTGGCGCACTACAGAATTTATTTTATGTACAAGAATCTTCAGATTTACAACTAACTTGCCAAGAATATTAGTAGTATCAGTAGAAATGTCAGTAGTAAGTATTATCAGTTAGTAGTATCATAGTAATATCAGTAGAAATGTAACAAAATTTGCTACCCAGGTAGCAATTCTTACACGCAAAGAACCACCGCAAAAAGGGTAAAAAATGCGTTTTTTTGTCGATTTTTCAAATATATTTTATGTCAAATAATAGCTCATGATAAGATATTAATTACAGAAAAATTTTACAATGAGTATACGATCGTTTCAGAGAGATAGAGGGTCAAAGTAATTACCACCTACTAAAAAAGTATGACACTATTGACATCTTCCCATACAGCACACAAATGTTGAATCAACATCTCAGAAACGTTCCATTACAACATTGTAATATTGCATCAATATTATGAAATGTAGATTCAACATTGAAAAGATATTGCAATAACGTCTAATGTCCGTTGAATTGTAATGTTTTGTAAACGTTACAATTCAACATTCAGAAAACATTGTTAAATTATATCAAGTTAACATTGGTCGCGTTTAGCAGAATATTTTTTACAACTGTTGGAAGTGCTGAAATTGTATTATTCCATTAAAATAATAATCCAATCTTAGCTCAGAAAATTTATATTTTTTTATTTGCACCGATTATAAATATTATAATATACAGGGTGTTTCATTTTAATCTAGCCAGGCGAATATTTCAAACGTTGTTGAGTTTAGAGAAAAATGTTTCAGACAAAAGTTGTATGGTTTCGAGGGGGACGTAAGAAGGTACCATTGGTTTGACCTTGAAGAATTATTTGAAGGTCACATGAAGGTCACACCAATTTTTTTTAATAGCATTCCCTATTTTTTATTACATATTCTTGTAGCTGAGCTCGAAAACTTTCCAAAACGCTATAATAAAGTATTTTTTATTAAGAACTTTTTGAGTTATTAAGGTTTGAAAGTGCCAATATTTTGACATAAATTACAAAATACCTTGTAAAATATTCATTTTTTTATCATTTTACCTTAATACTTTTTTGAACAGAATAATGAGACAAATCAACCGGTGTAAAGAAAACACAATTTTGTAACAAGAAATAAAAAAATTTTTTTAAAACAATTGCTTTCTTTACAAATGATTCACAAATTTAAAAAAATATTAGTGAAGACAACGTATCATGGTCATTTTATATATTTATTAAATTAATGTCATTCATTTATTTATTTATTTATTTATTTTATTTAAATTTATTTATTTACTTAATTTATTTAAATTAATTTAAATTAATTAATTAATTAATTAATTAAATTTATTAAATTTATTTTATTTTGTATTTAGAAATCATCTCACATTATTCATTAGTATAACCAAGAGACAAGCCGGCGAAAGATCTGATCGAACAGCGAGTTAACACGAATCAACTGAATAATCATGTTATTTATTATGGATTTACCGCGGCATATAAATTTATGTTACACATTGTATACACAAATTTGACAGCACCATGATCACTCACCGCGCATGAGCGCGGACAGTGATTCGCATCCTGAATTTTTTTGCGCGTTCGTAAACTCATAAAAAAAAGTATCGCAACCTCAGTGCTCCCGACTGTACGGTCGACAACCCTTAAGGTGCCTTTTCACGCGTCGCTCGTCGCTGGATTTCTCGGTACATAATTGGCCGTCATTACTTTTGTCGCTGGCAACTCTGTTGATCTATGAAAAGAGTTCAAGCGATATTTTGTAACCTCAAAGTTGTGAAATATTTACATATATCTTGAAAGGTGTTTAGTGAAAGGTGAATTTCAAAATTTAGTTTAATGTTATTGATAATTATTATATTCGATTTTTGGAAAATTTTGAATTTTGTAAAAGTATTTAGGTTTTGAGAAGTAAAAGAAGCTATTAATAACATACGGTGACTCTTTTTCACATAAGAAATTTGTATATCCAGCCATACAAGAATGAGAAGCAATTTTATTAAAATTGCATTCGCTTTTGCATAAGCCGCACAATACAACTTTTGGCACTACTGTAGTCTAAAAAGCATTAAAAATTACATTTTCATTCAAAACAATTTAATCAATAAAATTATTATTTTTTGTATTTTCTGCATTTCAGTTGATAATTGACAAATAACAAAAAGTGAGGTTAAACACAGAAGAGATTATCCAAACGATTGTATTTTACATTATTTCTCCAAATTAATTAAACTTTGCTATTTATTAAATTTATTTATTACCTACCTGATTAGTTGCCATTGCGAGAAACTCTTTAAAATTTTATGTATATTCCTCTTGTCGCTAGCGACGATAGTACCACGTGACACGTCCATCGCTAGTGACTAGCGACGTATGAAATTGCACCTTTATCGGCGCGCAGTTCTGAAAAGTCGAAATAGACGCGTAAACAACATCTTTATATTGTTATTGCGACTAATATTATCGTATGCCTCGGTGGTCTTGGAATTGGTTGAGGCGCCCGCCTAGAGAGAACGGAGGTCCAGGTTCAAACCCTGGCTGAGGTAATATTTTTCGCAATAAATTTTCCGTATTATAAAAATTGCCAGACACGGTCAAATAAAAATCATTGATGTTGTTAATTGCTTCTGGCGACTTTTACGAATATTCTTACTAGTTGATTGTGTCATAACGTTTAAAAATTTATAAATTAACATTTTACTAATGTTGATAAAATATTCCTTATTTACTGGGCTCAATTAGGGGCTTGAGTATAAATACGCGGACTCGGTCAAATATATGACAAAGAGCCATATTTTTCGATAAAAGCGTTTGTAAAAGATCTTTTCAGCCAATAAGAATTCTTCGAAAACAATTTTATTGGTACTTTTATCCATAAAAGAGGATTCAGAATGTGTTGCAAGGAGAAGGCACGTATGAACGTGTGCGCTCAGCACCAATCAGCGCCGCGCCGAGTATTCGACCGAGTTCGCACGTCTATACTCACTGTGCGGACTGATTCGCTCATACTTGACGCCGACTGAACGTATTTTTAAATGACCCCTATATGCAATCGTTGGTATTTCGTATGTAGACGTTTGTAATGCAATTAGAAAGGTTTGTGAGTCATTCGTTTGTTTGTAATTAATTAATTATTTTTCCACCGTATACTTAGCGCCAATAGATAAATTAGATAAAGTTTTTATATGGAATCGTTGGTATTTCGTATGAAGACGTTTGTAGTGCAATTAAAAAGGTTTGTGAGTGATCCAGATAATTTTAATTAAATATTTATTAAATAGAAATTAGCCGGATTCAAAATTTCATTGATTTCCTATCTATGATACGACATAAGAATTGCTTGTCACGCCATTTCAGGACATCTAGACCGAGGGGTTGTGAAAATAAAAATTTTAATATAAGCGTTGTGTTAAATTTATGGATAATATAATTGTTCCATAAATCGCCTGTAAACTGCAATAACAACTACATCTGAGAAAGTCGATATGTCGTACTCAGACTCAAAGGTAAATGGTTCAGGAAAATTATTTATATGAGTTGTTTTTGTTTTAATTATATTAATCACTAATTGTTATAACTAGCTATCCATCTCTCGCGACGTTGAGGGCAACTTCCGTGACGTATTTGCAGCTTCAACATCGCGAGAGATGGATAGTTAGTTATAACAAATAATGATTAATATAATTAAAACAAAAACAACTCATATAAATTAATTTTCCTGAACCATTTACCTTTGAGTCTGAGTAGACATATCGACTTTCTCAGATGTAGTTGTTATTGCAATTTACAGGCGATGGAACAATTATATTATCCATAAATTTAACACAACACTTATATTAAAATTTTTATTTTCACAACCCCTCGGTCTAGACGTTCTGAAATGGTGTGACAAGCAATTCTTGCTGCTACACGGAACGCTTAATCGGGTTTAATAACATCCGTAGTTAAGGGGCTGGCCAATCACAGTCATTCCATTCTTCTGAGAAGTAGTTGTGATTGGCCAGTTTTATAACTACAGATGTTATTAAACCCGATTAAGCGTTCCGTGTAGCAGCACTCATTGATAGGAAATCAATAAAATTTTGAAACCGGCTAACTTCTATTTAATAAATATTTAATTAAAATTATCTGGATCACTCACAAACCTTTTTAATTGCACTACAAACGTCTTCATACGAAATACCAACGATTCCATATAAAAACTTTATCTAATTTATCTATTGGCGCTAAGTATACGGTGGAAAAATAATTAATTAATTACAAACAAACGAATGACTCACAAACCTTTCTAATTGCACTACAAACGTCTACATACGAAATACAAACGATTGCATATAGGAGTTATTTAAAAATACGTTCAGTCGGCGTCAAATATGAGCGAATTGCGGACTGTGCCTATGACTATTCGCTGTCGCTCAGCCTTGTGCGGGAACCTTAACAACGGTTGATAAAAGGCAGTTGCGCATCTGAACTGCGCAGACGAAGAAGGAAACTTATTTCACAATTTTCTCTCTCTCTCTCTTTCTGGAGATGAATATATATGCTGGACTATCTTTATATGTCTATTGATTGTATGCGCCTGCACAATGTAAAATCTGCATACAATTTTTAAAATTTCCTTTATCTCCTCCCTGTACTTCGCCTTGTTTCGTGGGTGCGCAAAAACGACGGCTACGAGTAATCGCAATCGATGATCTTCTCGATCACTTGGTGCACTTTCGTTTACAACAATCGGTAAGTGCGCGTATAGGAACAGCCACTTCAGGTGTGACCGTTACGCTTTTAGGTTAGGACGCGATAATTAAAGAATGCGTATTGCATTGGAAAACCGTCGAGTGAAAGTGCTTGTTGTCGGGAATTTCAATGGAGCAAGCGATCCGACAACGTTATTCCCGAGCGCCCTAAAACAGACGGAGTACTAGGAAATGTTTCACGAAACACCTCGGCGGAGATATTGGCGCTTTCTCTATGGGTGATCCTCTAGCGTCACTGTCAATGCTTTCCAGACAAAAGGAAATGTCAAGAGTGGGAATCGCAGGTTAGTATTATATATCGTAAAGCTATTCTTTTGAATTGCTATGAAGGATTCAACAAAAGATATAGATTGTCTGGAGAGGTCAATGTTTATCTAAAGATCTGTCTTGTTGATTACTGTATATATATATATTTTGCATTAGTTATAGGATAAGAATAAGAAAAGAGCTCGAGGGGGAGGATGCACACAAATATTAACTGTACATTTTTATTTATAACAAATGATTGTAACATGTTAAAGCATGAAACAGACGTTGAGTAACTGAGAATCAAGTTCAGTATGTAAAAAGTCATCGATATTAAAAATCCGATTTAAATGAAATAATCAAGTTTTCTAGGCTTCAAGTACAATAATATTCATAAAACATAACCTATCGTGCACTGTACTTGTAAATTAATTGATTTGCATTGGTTCAAAATATATTTATCAATAGTTTCTATCGTAAGGAATCCTTAACGAGTAGTATTTGTTTATTTGAAGAATGTGGCATGTAAATTTAAAAGGAAACTTATTCTATCCTTTTAATTGTTCTTGTTATATTTAATTTCAACAAAAAAGTGATAATGTAATATTTGTAATTATCAGAGATTGATATGCTCAGATAATTGTTCGCTATACGAACAACGATTCAGAACTAGCTTCTTTACTTTCTTTACTCCTGTTTTCACAAGCGTCGTTTAACTTTGATCTTTTGTTAGTTTAATTCAGCCTTCGTCTCTTTCTAACATTTCCTTAAAAAGTAAAGTAAATTAAGATAAAAGTCAAACGATGTTAGTGAAAATCGGAGTTGGGGACGTAAAATAAGAGAACATCTTTTTACGATTGGGCTGGATCTTAGTGCCTGATTATATCTTTGCGTATACACCTTTTTTCAACCAAACAATATAATTTTTCACAACAATAAAATGATTATATCGACGATAACTGGCACAGTACATTTTCAATTAATACACGACGTTTCGACCAGTATTACTAGTCCTTCTCAAGTATCACCCATTAGACGTGACAGCAAGAAATAGGTGATGTATCAAAGAATACGATTGTGTAGAAGTGCATAGTCAAGAAATGGAATCACTCCGCACAGTAAAGAATATAGAGTTCAAAAAGTTGAACTACTTATCAAAGTGTCAAGCATTGTCAGCGTTTGATAGGACACTATAATTTTTGGAATAGTATTAAGTTGATGTCAAAATAGTATACGTCATTAAATACATAATCAATATCATAATGTTCTTAAAATAAGCGTTTTTTTGGAAACGCATACTGTAAAGAATTAAGAATACACAGTGTGTTCAAAAAGTTCCAGGACTGGTCGCACACGGATCAAACAACGCCATGTATTGACTCCTCTTTAATATCAAGCTTCTACATAGTCTCCCGCCAATTCGATACAACGCTTAGAACGAGTATTTAGGTCCATCATCGCCTTCTGAAACGCCTCCACTGGAATACTGTTCAGTTCCTTTGTCACCGCTTTTTCAATCGCCTCTACTGACTCATATCGATGTCCCTTCATCTTCAATTTTAGCTTGGGAAACAAAAAATAGTCTGGGAGGGACAGATCAGGTGAGTTTTGGAACGACTTTTAAAACGAATGCGGTGTGTGAGGCCAAAAGTGTTGGAGAGCGGAGAGTGGTGGCTGTTGCACGACAATGCACCGGCTCACAAGTCCATTGTTGTACAGGAGTTTTTGACGAAAAGGCAAGTTGTGAGCATCAACCACCCTGCGTACTCACCTGATCTGCCCCCCCCAGACTATTTTTTGTTTCCCAAGCTAAAATTGAAGATGAAGGGACACTGATATGAGTCAGTGGAGGCGATTGAAAAGGCAGTGACAATGGAACTGAACAGTATTCCAGTGGAGGCGTTCCAGAAGGCGATGCTGGACCTGAAGACTCGTTCTAAGCGTTGTATCGAATTGGCGGGAGACTATGTAGAAGCTTGATATTTAAGAGGGGTCAATACATGGCGTTGTTTGATCTGTGTGCGACCCGTCCTGGAACTTTTTGAATGCACTGTGTATGTATGTTCTCACTCTCTAAAGTTTTTTGAGTGGAATCTCACTCGAAACTATCTACCTACGAAATAGATTATATACTAAACTGAAAGTAAGATTCCTAAACTAAAATTAAACACTTTATCATATTACTCATCGCTCGTAAATACATTGGCCTTAATTTCCTATACTCATTTTTAAATAAAGACGAGCTTGTACTTATTCTTAGTTTAAAATTAAACAACATGAGGAAACGCCAATGTGGGTTACAAGGCAAGATGTAGCCCAATTTGTAATTCTTATATTTTGAAATGTGAATTTACATACCGTTTCTTTCCAACTTTGTTTTGCGCGCCGATTTCTTATATACTTGTACATATGTAATATAGAAATCGAAAGAATATGCAGAATTTCTTTCACTATCCAGAACTGCAGAATTTTTTAAATGTTTGTAACAAGGGCGTTCTAATTCGCCACGAGTAAACGTAAGAGCTGAAGCAGGACTATGAAATGAAATTGATTAATTTTGTTACTCCTACTCTTTATTCCAGGCTTACTCCACATATTGTAGACCAGGACTAATGTTACATTGAAATAACATGTTACATGTTTTTCTAAATATAACATTTGTTATGTTGTTAATACTTTTATGTTAGCGCTATAAACTGTGTTTATTGGGACCATATTAGTCGAAAGGCGTTTTTGGTAAACTAAAAAAAATTCTCTTGATTTCTGTATTACATATGTAGATACAAGTATATAAACCAACTGATTTCTAGTAGATTTATTGTCGAGTTAGTTTGTTTACCGACTAAAAACTATACATAATCCCAGTAAACACCAAGTAACAATAACATCAATATTATAATTTCCTACTCAACTATGTAATATAGCACGCATGTTATATTACATTTACATTGTTAAGTAGGAAATTGTCATATTGATAACATGCGTGTTATGTTACATTTACATTGTTGAGTAGGAAATTATAATATTGTTATTCACGGAGTTGAAGAAAAAGTGAATAACAGCAACTCTTGAAAGAGTGAGAATACACAAGATTGGCCTCATTTCTTTCGCATTCGATTTTGGTCACAAAGTAGGTACCAAACGAATGGTTGACGTTACTGACATTGTCCTGCATTTTCTACGAACCTAAGTAAGTTTTAGGTGGATTAAGTGATTTTTGGGAACCCATTAGGAAACCTTTTAGTCGACTCCACCTCGGTTTTGGAATTTTTGGAGCCCGATATCTCTGGAACGTTAAAATAGGTTCTGGGGCAGACGAGACCTTTTGTTTGGTTCCTACCTTGTGACCAAGATCGAGTGTGAAAAAAATTGGGTCATTTGCCTATGAACTCTTGTTCTCACTTTTTAAAAAGATTTTATTTTAAAGAAAGCAATCACCAAAATATAGTGAGTTACATGATAAAAAGAAGAAAATGGGTCATATATGTTCAATAATAAGGAAACGGAACATATAGATATGTATTTTGTTCTACAACTTTACAATTATAGTCTCTTAAGGATTCGTGGTATCTTACAAAGGTAAAGAAGTACACATCAAATACATTCGAAAGAATGTTTGCAATAAGAATGGAATTTATTAAAAATGTATGCAACAAAAGAGCAATAACTACTAATTTTTTCAGAATCATGTTCATATTATTCTACAAAAAGTCTTACAAAACCTAAAACTTAATGGATGTGTAATCAATACAATTTGATTATATCCAATTAATTATAATTGATGTTGATCGTCATATTTTGCACGAGTTGTAAGAGATAAGAATTTTAAAAGAGCAAGAAAAAGTTTAAGTGGAGATAAGACAAAGATCCCGTTCGAAGAAACGCAAGTAAAGATGGGCGCAGTTTAAATTGCTTACACAATTATTTAAACATGTGTAGCAATTAATAATTTTCCTCTACATTTAGGGAAAAATGTAATATCGAGCGTGATCGGACGCGTGAAAATATTTATTAAATAATACCTTTATTTTATCGACTGGAGAAAAGGCATTTTTGTCACATAGTAATCCTATTATAAACATTTAAAATAGGCAAGCAACATTTTTTCTTTTAGCAAACTTTTTATTAATTAAATTTTTCGAATACAAAAAGTTTGTTATGTTAATTGTTACTTTTATGTTATGTTAACGCTACAAACTGTGTTTACTGGGACCATATTAGTCGAAAGGCATTTTCGTTAAGGGTATACTAAAAAAAATTCTGATTTATAATGCCTGGTTTTTACCAACGCTATTTAACTTCTTACAATTTAATTTTAAATCATCTTTTGTTTCTTTCTAAGGGGACAGTTTGAAAAAGACAGAGGATGAATTAAACTAAGATTGAAGTTGAACGACGTTGGTGAAAACGGGCATAAAAGCTAACGTCGGTTAACCAGAGATTAGTCGGCTCCCTATCTTTTTATCTATTATTATCTAATAGTAAATAAGAAGAGACAAAGAGAATTGATTAGTCTTCAGTTAACAGTTAACGTTTGTGAAACTGGCTCTAACAATAAGTTCATAATCTCAGTTCAATGTTTTTGTGCCAGAATAGTTAGCCTGTTCTTCTTTAATATATCCGTGAAGAACGTATGTCCCAAGATTTGTACATTAGTTATAAGAGAAAGAAAAAGAAAACTTTGCAAGATGATGCAAATCATCGAAATTATGTGGTACCTGGTGCTTATATTATAGTCCTGACATAACTTGCCCGATTAGCACAGTGTTAACAACGATAAAGCTTTTAATATAAAACTTGTAATCAGTATAAGGAAATATCAGTTTTTTAGGAATTTTGCCTTTACGGAGAGAAAAGCATGCTAAGAAAAATATGAAGAGCTTAACTCTGCAATTTTTTTAGCAGGTATTAAAATTTGCAACATTTTTGATCCAATAAAGGGCAAAGTACTTTTAAATTGGATTGCCTTGTTAGCAAATTGTAAACCTTAGAAGACAAAAATCTATTTTTTTCCAAAGATTTTATCTCACTTTGGTACTCTGACTACTTTTGTTCTGTACGAAAACGTTATTTGAACTTTGAACGCTTTTGAGACGCACCATCAAGTTCAACATAAACATCTTAAATAAAAACCCCAACGTTGGCTAAAGATTATCTTTTTTCTATTTTAATATTTCTAATAATTATTAATAAACTAATAATTATTATAAGATATTTCACATTGTCCAAACGGATTTATACCTCTTGTGTATGCGTGCGTGCGTGTGTCTGTAGATGGTTATGGATGTTTATTATTTTATTAAATGTTTAAATTAATGTTCTTCTGCTGCTCAGTAGTATCTCAAGCAAACATAAAATTTAAGATGTTTTTAAAAATGTTTTATTATATTATATTGTTAATATTTTATCTTTTAAATCGTCCATGTTTCTAGGTCTTGTCTTATACCTAAACTAACTTTTCAAAGATCTTCAAAGAAAAACGTCAAATGTTTCTAATTTTATTACGCTAAAATGTTTTAGAAACGTTTTAAATACAGTTTAAGTTTGCTTGGGACTCTGCCAAAAGTAGCAGGACATCAATTTGTACATTTAATGACTGAACATCAATAACTATCTACAAACACAGGCGAGAGTAGAGGTAGTGTAAATTTGACTGAGAAACCTCCACGTAATCTTGAATAATACCGTCAGTATTTAAACCTTAAATACTCTTAACTCACAATTCGGAAAGTTTTCATTGCAAAAACGTTTGTCATCACTGTCATCAGTAATTTGAAATTGTCTCGAGTTCAGTTACATGAATATAAAATAAAAAAAATTAGCTTTTTACTTAAAATTCTTGATTATTTTTGTTTAATTATAACATTTGGCCAATAAACCAATACTTTCTGAGTACTAGAGATAACTAGTCACTTTAGAACTTTTGGTAAGTACTGTATGTATATTGTCGATACTTTAAGGCGTTCTTTATTTGATTCTTCTTTTTTTTTTGTTACAAAAATGATTTTAGCGACTCATTATTGACTAGAGATTTGCTTGACTCTATACAGGGTGTCCCAATTTAATGTCCCACCCCAAATAACTTTTTTATTTTTAACTGCAGAAAAAAACATTTCAGACAAAAGTTATTCGGTTTGAAGGGGGACACAAGATGGTACCATTAGTTTGACCTTGACGAGTTGCATGAAGGTCACGTGAAGGTCACCTTGAATTTTTTAAATGGAACCCCCTATTGTTTATTATACAGTCTTATTCTATTAATCAACAACTTTTATCTGAAACACTTTTTTATTTGCCTAATACTTTTTGAGATATTCAAGAGAAAATTTATAACTTCTTCAATATTTAGCTTACAATATCTCGATAACTGTTTGCCGGAGGGAGAAGTAGTACAGGACTTTTTTTTACTTGATTTGGTCTCAGGAATATGCTGTTGCAATAGTACTCCAATTATTGAAAATTGTTGTGTATGTAAATTTGGTGTATGTTACTATATTGGAACACTTTTACAACAGCATATTCCTGAAACCAAATCAAGTAAAAAAAGTCCTGTACTATTTTTCCCTCCAACAGACAGTTATCGAGATATCATAAGCTAAATATTGAAAAAGTTGTCAATTTTCTCTTGAACATCTCGCAAAGTATTAGGCAAATCGAAAAATGCTTCAGGCAAAAATTATTTATATTAATTAGTAGAATAAGACAGTATAATAAACAATAGGGGGCTCCATTAAAAAAATTGAAGGTGACCTTCACGTGACCTTCATGCAACTCGTCAAGGTCAAAATAATGGTACCATCTTGTATCCCCCTTCGAACCGAATAACTTTTGTTTGAAATGTTTTTTGCAGTTAAAAATAAAAAAGTTATTTGGGGTGAGACATTAAATTGGGGCACCCTGTATAATGTCTTTATATAAAAACCTATTTAATGTACAAGAGTACTGCGTACGTAGTAATTCCCGTCGATACACTATACATACAAGAAACATGTTACTTTCACAATAATCCAGAATAAAATCTAAGATTTGAGATTCTATAGAATTAAAAAATCAATATTCTAAGATACTAGTAACTTTAAATCAATAAATTGAAATAAAGTTTTCCATATACAAGGATCGAAATTCTTATGAAACATGTAATAATTTTATAGAAATGTAATAATTCTACAATTGAAAAAATTAAAACTTAAAGTAATTCTCTAGGTTAAGAGTGCCTGTAAGATGGTTTACTAAAATATTCCTATTCAAAATTTAGAATTCCAATTGACAGATTATAAAATCCAAAATATATGAATAGTAGGATACATCAAATACATAATGGTATTAATGCAAATCCAATGATCATATCTCTTTTTTTTAGATTCCTGTGTATATTAAGGACATCCACATATTCCTGAGTAAGATATCTCAGTGAAGAAAAAAAAAAATACAATTACTATGGCGGACGAGGAAGGTACAGAGTGGCTTCAAGAACTGTTGCATGACGTGCAGCTCTCCCAGTTCTTTACGCGAATTCGAGATGATCTGCAGATTACTCGTCTACATCACTTTGATTATGTCCAAGCAGAAGATTTGGAGAAGATTGGTCTGGGTAAACCGGGTGTTAGACGTCTATTGGATGCAGTAAAGAAGAGACGAAATGCTCAATGGAAGAAGAGTTTAATTACCAAAATTAAACCTGGTAGCAGCAGTAAAAGCAACAAGCGATCCTCGCAGCCTGTTGAAACCTCCTCAGTGTTGACATGTCTCATACAAGACAAAGATGTGACATTATCTATTAAATTGGGTGATGGAAGCTTCGGTGTAGTGAGAAGAGGGGAATGGACTTCGCCTTCTGGACGAACTCTACCTGTTGCTGTTAAAGTCCTCAAGGCAGATGCTCTCACACAACCGAGTGTTATAGAAGACTTTGTCTCAGAAGTTCAGGCAATGCACACTTTAGATCATTATAATCTTATTAGATTGTACGGTGTGGTGTTGTCGCAGCCTATGATGATGGTAACCGAACTTGCGCCTTTAGGCGCGTTACTTGACTATTTACATCAGCAATGTGGCAGAATCTCGATTCTCACACTCTGTAACTATGCATTGCAAGTAGCTACGGGTATGGCTTATTTAGAAGCAAAGCGTTTTCTACATCGTGATCTGGCATGCAGAAACGTCCTGCTGAGTACTATTGATAAAATCAAAATCGGCGACTTTGGTTTGATGAGAGCACTTCCTCAACAGGAAGACTGCTACGTTATGACGGAACATAAGAAAGTGCCTTTTCCTTGGTGCGCTCCTGAGTCCCTCAAGGCTCGGCATTTTAGTCATGCGTCAGATGTTTGGATGTTCGGCGTGACGTTGTGGGAAATGTTAACGTTTGGCGAAGAACCCTGGCTGGGCTTGAATGGTTCTGAAATTTTGCGTAAAATCGACCGTGAAGGCGAACGACTTCACGAGCCAGAAGCGATGCCTCCATACATGTATGAGCTGATGCTTCGTTGCTGGGCGAGAGAGCCTTCGGAAAGACCGACATTTGCTTCGTTGAAGGAGTCCTTGACTGGCATGGTACCGTCTGTAATGAAGGCTCTAACTGCCTTTGAGGAAGCAGGTAAGATGACCATCGAGTCAGGAGACCAGATTGCAATCGTTGACGGGCGCCCGGAAAATTATTGGTGGAAAGGTCAGAATCAACGAACCTTTCAAGTAGCACATTTCCCGCGCTGTCTGGTTGATCCAATGCGCCGAAAGCAGCCAGAAGACATTAGCAAACCGTTGGAGAATTCTTTCATTCATACAGGACATGGAGCGCCCTTTGGCAAGAGCTGGGGTAGTCCTGTTTACATCGACGATGTATATTTAAGAAACCCAATGGATCCTCCGGACGTATTGGTGGCAGCCTCAGCTGATAATCAAGCAAAAAAGAAATTCTCTTGCGGCACGCCACGCACCAGAAAACAATTCAATTACACCAAGTTACACAACGATGCTAGATCAAGTCCTATCAAGGTCTCGCAAACATCATTGGTTTCAGGCACTAGCCAAGAGGATACTCTGATCGATTTGTCTGCTGAGGAATCGGCAAACACATGTGTCTATGATCAAAAGGTCGCTTGTAAACGAGTGATTAACATTCTAGATGAACCTATCGATGGCGAGAGGTTCTGGCAGGATGAAGAAGGTAGAACATATGCCAATTTTCCTGGTAACGTGGATCCTGCATATTCTGATCCCTTTGATACTTCTGCGGTGTTCATGAAGCCGCCGCATTCGCGATATTATAGTCATGTGCCTACTGAAGTTACTAATCGCTATATGAAGACACAGACGTATGGAAATGTAAGCAATCCAGAGGGAGGAGATAACGTTCAAGATACCGTGAATAGTTCCGTCCTTGATTCTGCTGATACAGAGGTATATTCTTATAGCAATGTGTCAGAAACATTTTCTAATTACTTGTAATATGATGAAAATTTTCCGAATTCAAAATGATTCGTCAGTCTGAATATTCAAAATCAAGATGTTTTGAACATTTTGAACGTTTCGAAAATTAACTATTATTAAAATGTAGGTCTGCATATACATTAAACACAATAGATAATTATTAATACATATATTGCTGTGCGCGTCGGAGATTACAAAAGGGGGACTCGTTTGGCTCGCGGCACACTCACGCACTCGCGGGACCGCGCGTAAATGACAACACTCTGAATAAGCGGAAAAGCATACTCTTTTAATTGCGATCAGTTCGTACAGAATTCAAGATGGAGAACAACAACAATTCTCGATCAATAATTCTGTTTATTAGCTTCCGTTGACTTGGAGACGCCTCTCGTGTCCAGGCGCACTCTTAGTCTAACGGGCGTAACGATACAATTGTATTATACAGGGCCATTTTAATCTATGCACCCAAACTTTGTACCTAAGACAGATACGGAAAAATGGTTCAGACAAAAGTTGTTCAAGATAATGGGGGTCACCTATCTGTGTAACTAGCTTTGACCTTGAGAATACTTTTCAAGGTTATTTGAAGCTCAGAGTGGTTTTTTAAAATGGGAACCCTTATTTTTTATTCCATATTCTTATGGCTTACCTCGAGAGCTTTCCAAAACGCTATAATAAAGTATTTTTTATTAAGAACTTTTTGAGTTATTAAGGTTTGAAAGTTCCAATATTTTGACATAAATTATAAAATATCTTGTAAAATATTCTTTTTTTTTATCATCTTGCCTTAATACTTTTTTGAACAGAATAATGAGACAAATCAACCGGTATAAAGAAAACACAATTGTTAAAAAAAATTTTTTTTATTACTTGTTACAAAATTGTGTTTTCTTTACACTGGCTGATTTGTCTCATTATTCTATTCAAAAAAGTATTAAGGTAAGATGATAAAAAAAATTAATATTTTACAGAATATTTTGTAATTTATGACAAAATATTGGAACCTTCAAACCTTGATAACTCAAAAAGTTCTTAATAAAAAAATACTTTATTATAGCGTTTTGGAAAGCTCTCGAGGTAAGCTATAAGAATATGTAATAAAAAATAGGGATTCCCGTTTAAAAAACCACTCTAACCTTCAAATAACCTTGAAAAGTAGTCTCAAGGTCAAAGCTAGTTACACAGATAGGTGACCCCCATTATCTTGAACAACTTTTGTCTGAACCATTTTTCCGTATCTATCTTAGGTACAAAGAAATTTGGGTGCATAGATTAAAATGGCCCATCCTGTAATGTATTCTATTTATATTGTACAGAGTATCTTCAAAATGAATGGTCAAATTTTGCCAGTATATTCTCTGGATTTATGCATTTAATTATACGCTAATTATGTGTCCTTGTATCAAAATAATTTTAATTTTGTGATGTACTCTTTAATAGGCTGTTTTTGTAAGACAAAGTAGCATTTCTCTGTACTTGATATAAAATTACAAAACTGGATAAATTAATTATATACATTACACCATTTTATGTATTATTATATTGAAACAATTTTTATTTGTACGCCGTAATTCTCAAGAATCTTTCTAAAGCAAAAATGGAAAAGAAGAAAGTTGTCTAAAAATCAACAACTAATTATATTTTTTTCGAAAGTGATTGTGTAAATTTTCAAAAAATCTTTTTAAATAATTGTAACTAAAACTTAATGTTACTAATTTTTAACCTCTTGTTTACACGTATTATCTTATTACTATCTTTATATTATCTTTATTGTATATTATCTTTACTATTCATATCTTATACTATTTCATTTTATTTATTCTTTTTCCAGGAGACTCGCCAATATTCGATGAATTTAAACAAAGGATGCCAGCAAGACACGTTAAATTTGAATGTGAATGTACAATGTGACGACATTTCAAATCACTATAGTGAAATAGACAAGGTTAGCCCATGTGGATCAAGTTGGTCTACTTGGCCGGATGATTTACGAAATACTTCCGCCATGCAGACGTATGTTAATATTTCTGACAGTAGACCCTCATCGTCATTCGCGGTCCCAACTCCACCTCTTCCTCCTCCTCCTCCTCCTCCACCTCCTCCTCCTCCTCCTTCCCTTGGCCCAAATGTGAGTCCGCCAAAGCCCAAGTCCAATTGCGAGCTCGTGCAAAGTATGAATGAACTGTCATTGAATGTTAACTCTGATCGTCAAGAAGTTGCCACTGTTGTCAAGAAGTTGGATCCGGTGTTCTTGGCCGAGTTGGAGAAGCATTTGGGTGAAAAAGAGGCAACCAAAAACACGAACGCTAGCAACAGTAAATGCCAACAGTCAGGAATTGTTTCCGCAAATTATTTGAACTACTCATCGTTAGAGAAGCTCCGACAGAATACATCTACTCAACAGCTTTCAACGACGGAGGTTGCTGTCAGGCCTTTGTCGATCGTCCCAGCGTTAAAGCCTCCGCCGCAAGGGAAACCAAAATCGCCAGTTGCAACAATAGATCGAGCAGGCCCTTTGACGGCGCCACCTAGCAAAGTGCAGAACTCCTGGCAGTCAAAAAGCACAAATGTTCAAAGACCGCAACTCCAGAATGACCAGTGCATGTCAGAATCGGCCACTGAGACTATAGTAAGCCAGATTTGGCAACAGACGCAAACTCTGTCTCAGCAGTCAAACGTTTGCCAAGCTAGTTCGTCTACTAACCAGATGTTAATGCCCATTTCGATCCAGTCGAGCGTTAATCAGCTTCAAGAAACTGCTAGCAATGCTTCCAGTAATGACACAAACGATCAAAATCAGTATGGTTCTTGTAATGTTGCCAAAGCTACCCTTATACAAACGCAAGTTTGTCTGTCAAATCAGAATTATCCTCAAAACGCGTTACACATCAATCAGAATAATATCAAATTGTTCGAAGGAACTTCTGATATTACTGATGGTAATACAAATGAGGCCCAACATGGACCTTCTAACGTTGCCAAGGCCGCGTTTAATCAAACACAAGTCTGTTCATCGAGCAGCCAAAGTTATCTTCAAAATTCATTAGGTATTGACCAAGATGTTAATTTGCGACAAGTAAGTAACATTTCCTCTAATGCCAGAAATCAGTGCGATACAATCAGTATTTCAAAAACAAATCAAACTCAGATTTCCTCTTTAACTGATGGAAGCCAAAACTATCTTTATAATATGGGCTTTAATCTACTTCAAATGACTGCCAATCATATTTCCGACAAGAGTACGAGTGAATTTTCTCGGCATGGACATTGCAATATCTCTAAGGCTGCTTCCAATCAAGCGCAGATCTATTTATCATCAAGTCAGAATTCATCATCGAGCATGACGACAATTCCTCATCTGGGAGATTTTGCGTTGCCTCAAACCTGTCTTCAAAATGTGCCAACATCCAGCACAAGTAATACTTATGGAATCACTCACATACAGAATGATTTGCATCAATCTCAGCATTTGAAGCCTACTACACTTTTATCGGAACAAGTATATGCTGAATTGAAACAAACGGTATGTAAGTTTTGTAATTACACAGAGTTGGATACTTTGTAACTTAAAATACTCATGTTGTGTACGCAAGCCAAAATATTTCAAATAAAATTTTCGTGAAATTTTAAAGAAGAGAAACGTGACACTAGCAACAAATTTTTTGCTAATAAAAATTTCTTTGTGAAATGTCAACGCCACTTATTTTAAAACAAGGAATCATGTGATTATTTTTACATAGTTTAAATTTATAATTATTTTGCATATAAAAACAATAAAGTAAAAACATTACAAAATATTTTGTTACTTATTTTGATAATATTTTTACTTAAAGTATAAATTTTGCAAGATTTTTCGATTTTGATACTTTCATGTTCATAACGATGTGATAAATCAGTTAATATAAAAAACAATAAGTTTTATTATAAAATTTAAAACTTCTAAAATTATGTCATTTCATTTTTGAGATATATTCAACCTTATCTACAATATATGACTGAAATAAATCAGCAAGAATATAAAATAATGTAAAAATTGTTGCATTGTGATAATGTGGTCTTATAAAGTCTTATAAATAAACTAAAATTCTTAGCCAGATTGTAAAACCATTTTCAACCATAATTTAAGAATGTGGCTGTACTTTATAAAATTCCTAGACATTTTATAAAATGACAGAAATTTATGAAATCTGGCTGCATCATTATATATAAATAATTATTCGATTTTATATCAATTTTTTATATATTCTTATGAAGAAGTATTAGATAAAAATAAAGAGGCAGTTTTCTTAGTTAAGTAAAATTTCTGTAATATTTTATCCTTGTATTTTCTTATACAATTTGTAATTGTAAATTTTTTAAAAATTTATTATATATTTTGTATCAGTTTTATTTATATTTTTATTTTCTATGAAAGTATGAAAATCATGGAGTAATGTATAATTTGAGACGTTTCATATTTTACTCCAAAGTAAAAAAAGAAATATTTCGTGAATTATTTGATCTTTTTATAGCTTTACGTTAATATTTATCTGCAAGATTACTAAGAGAGAATCAAAATCTAAAAAGAACATATTTTTATTTTAAAAAATATATAATCCAAAAGGGCATGATGCTATAAAAATTTTGGTACATTATATTTTTTACCAAACTTTAACATTTTTTAAATAGTTTTCGATAAATGCACACATACATATAACAGAGATATTTTAACTAAAATTGTATGTAAAACATATAAAATTATATGTTTAATCCTTTTATGTATACTAATAATGATAATAATGTAAAAGTAATATCGCTTGCCAGATTTATTTTTAGCTAATCTTTAGATTTAAAAACAATTAATAAGTATGATTGTAATTCTTTTACAGGTCCCTAATCTAGAGCAGTTGTCTCAGAATGAATTTAATACACTCTACAATAAAACTGTTCGACAGAACATTCTCCGAAATTACTATTCAAGTAATCTGAGCAGCAAACAAAGCCAAAATTATACTCAGGAAACTGCTGGCAACCAACAGCAACAGAATATGACTGGCAAGAATCAGCCTACTCCAGGACATGCTTGCGACTTTAGTCCTTATCTGAAACAGCCGCCGATTTATAATCCTCCTCCTCCCCCTCCTCCTCCTACAATTCGAAGTCCGTTGAAAACTGGTCAGAACGGTTATGTGCAGAGTCATTATCCTGCAATCAAATGCAACCTGAATGCACCTTCCAATCTATTGCAAACTGAAGCTTCTACATCGGCTAGAAATACATTGGTGATGCTGAATGACTTTGCTGCTGCCAAGACGAATCTACAACATGCAGTTGGTACTAGTCCACCACTCACCGAAGCTTCTCAACAACTGGTAATGTCACTGAGCGATGAGTTTAGAGCAAGTAAAGTTATGAAGGTACAAAAAGATACTGTGGATGCATCGCAACAAGAAGTGTTAGCCGCGCTGCAAGCAACCGGTTGGGATACAAATCAAGCCGCGAAGCAAATCGCGAAGGACAGAAACGCCAAACTGGAGAGTCTCATGAGGTATGTACTTGGAGATGTTTCTGTGAATTGATTTATCTTTGTGAGAATATTTGTGCTAGTCAATCAAGAGCTTATGCGTATATGTTTTTGACCGAAAAATATGGTGTAACAATATGATAAAGCAATGAAGAACCATCAGCATTTGTTGCGCAAGATAATCATCGTAATACACAATTTGTAAAATTTTCGAAATTTGGAATAGCGTGATAAAGAAAGAGAAAGCTATATGCAATAGTTTTATTTATAGCAACGAAATTGTCGTCGAGTGATCTCGCCGCTGCCACCAGTTTGTTGTCGCGTGCGTTACCACCACTGACACAAGTTGTCGCCGCGCCGCGCCGCACAGTGGGACGAGAAGTTCATTTTGTGATTGAAATTCAAGCCGTGCGCCAATTCTTAACGGATCTTTATTATTTTTTTTTAATTTTTCAGGAATTGAATAAGCTATACAAATATCCTGCGCCAATTTTGATTTCGTTCTAAATTCAAAATGGCGGATCACATGAAGTGGGCATAAAATGTCAAAACTGTACGAATGCGAGTAAATTTGTAACAAACCGTGCATGTATTTACGAAAAAATATTATGTGTTGCATAGTCGATAATGACGAATCTGCAGTTTAAGTAAAAAAAGTGGTGGATCCAAAATGGCGGAAAACTTAATAAATAGATTTTGTAATATGGATGCTAACAAGATGATTATATCTTACGTAAGACCCTTTAGTAATATTAAGATATTCATCATGAGAGATTTTTTATTTTTTTAAATTTATTTAAAAGAATCAACAAATTAACAATCAATGAAGTAAAAGAGCTAAGAGCCTTGACTAGGTGTCACAATAATAAAATTCACATATATTTAAAACATAAAAATACAAACGTTTCGGCCTTTCTCTAGACCATCTTCAGTGTATGCGTATTTATAGTATACAATAAATAGTATAAAATAAATAGTATAAAATAGTATAAAATAGTATACTCTATTTATTTTATACACTGAAGATGGTCTAGAGAAAGGCCGAAACGTTTGTATTTTTATGT